GGAACGGGGCTGCCCGCATGCAGCAGAACTTATAGGATTTATTATTATACAGATCGAAAATGCCCGCCTGCAGTAGGCCATATCGGCTTTATATCACGCTTGGGCTGAAGAAGCCCCTTCGGAGTCTGTACACACCCTCAGTGAGCGTAAATGATTACATATTCGGGATGGACTTCCCAGGGCATGTATTTGCCTTAGTTAGTTATATTGTGATGAATATCCCTGGACATGGATCTTGTTCGTATCATTTTTATTTGGGGATAAATTACCCTAGGGTTGTATTGCCTTATACGGTACTGAGTGAATATATATATATATATATATATATATATATATATATATACGGGATGGAATATCCCTAGACTGGATTGGCCATAAACAGTACCGAGTGACCGAGCAATTAGTGATCGTGAGTACACGAGGTTTTCCACTGAGATGTCATATTCCTCATGTCGTGTAATATTGATATATTTTGCTTGTACTCAGTTTAACTATTGAACTTGAAAGCATGCCTACATTTCTATACCATTATTTATGTACTGGAATGTACCCGCAGATCTCGTCACTACTTTCAGCCCAGAGGTTAGTCTTGTTAGTTATTGAGTTGGTTGTACTCATACTACACTCTGCACCTCGTGTGCCGATCCAGGTTCTTCCGGGCACGGCGATTGTTAGACCTCCGTGTGTTACCAGTTGGAGACTATCAAGGTAGCTTCTTGGCATACGCTAACCTTGACTCTCTTTCTTTCAGTTATTGTACTATTTTATACTTTCGGACAGTGTTTTTATCAGTCAGACTTTGTATTCATTTAGATGCTAATGTACTCAGTGACAACCAGTTTTGGGAGTTTTTGTATCTGAACTTGTGAGGTTTTCTATTGCTTTCAAGTAATATTTTTTCAAACTTAAAAGATATTGTGTTTTATTGAGGTTGTCGGCTTGTCTAGTATTGAGATAGGCGTCATTACGACAGGTGAGATTTTGGGTCGTGACAGAGATATCACGAATGGAAGATTTGAAGCCGTCTACTTAGGATTTGACTTCATTTTTCCTTTAGGATTTGATCACGGATGAAAATTGTACATATAGAAAAAAAGTTTGATATTATTCTTCAGAGCTTCCCCAGCCTTCCTTGTGCATGCTTGATGTATTTTCAGCACATTGGGCTTGGGACTCATGCATCGACACATATGATAGAAGGTCATCTAACGAGCTAGTCAAATACCATTGGACTTTTATTCAGATCAATTTAATTAGATTTAAATAATTAACCCAATCATACTAGTTCATAATATTTAGTTAGACTAATATATGTTTAATTTATGAAAAAGGCTAATTTTTTATGAATTTAAATTTAATAAAATTTTAATTATTTACAATAATATTCTCCACCAAAATTTAAGGGAAAGTAAACAAATTACATACTATCTTTTTTATCTTTGTTTAAAGTTGAACTATAATCTCCAAGATAACATTTATTACCTTTCCACCCCCAGCTAATTTCCGTTTTTTACTATTCAAGAATCAAGAATATACAACAACAACAACCCAGTAAAATTCTACTAATGGGGTCTAGGGAGGGTAGTGTGTACGCAGACCTTACCCCTACCCCGAAGGAGTAGAGAGGCTGTTTCCGAAAGATCCTCGGCTCAAGAAAATAAAAGGACAAAAGGAGACAATATTAGTATCACCATAACAATCATAGAAAAAATAGGAACCCCATAAAATCCAGAAGAAAGATACAAAGCAAAAGTGATAGCTAGTAAATAGGTCCTACACTGAAAAAGCGAAATAGTAAGACACAATATTGCCACTAACTATCTTAGACAAAACTCCTACCTGGCTAGTCCCACAATGGTACGAAGTAAGGCAAGACTCAACTACCTCCTAACTTAAAACCCTAATACTCGACCTCCACATCTTCCTATCAAGTGTCATGTCCTCGAAAATTTGGAGCCTCGCCATATCCTACATGATCACCTCTCCCAAATACTTCTTAGGTCGCCCTCTACCTCTTCTCATGCCCTCCATAACCAGGCGCTCACAACTTCGTACCAGAGCATTTGGGCTTCTCTTCTGAACATGTCTGAACCATCTAAGCCTCGCTTCCCGCATCCTGTCATCAATGGGAGCCACGTGCACCTTCTCCTGAATATCATCATTCCTAATCTTATCTATCCTAGTGTGCCCACACATCCACCTCAACATCCTCATTTATACTACTTTCATATTTTGGATATGTGAGTTCTTAACGGGCTAGCACTCAGCCCCATACATCATGGCCGGTCTAACCACCGCTTTATAGAACTTACCTTTGAGTATCGGTGGCACTCTCTTGTCACACAAGACTCCAGATGCTAACCTCAACTTCATCCATCCTACCCCAATACGGTGTGCGACATCCTCGTCGATCTCCCATCCCCCTGGATAACCGAACCAAAGTACTTGAAGCTGCCTCTACTCGGGATGACCTGTGATTCAAGCCTCACATCCACGCCCACTTCCCCCAGCTCAACCCTGAACTTACACTCCAGGTATTCCGTCTTCGTCCTGCTCAACTTGAAACCCTTAGACTCAAAAACCTGTCTCCAAACCTCCAGCCTCTCATTAACACCGGCTCGCGACTCATCAATCAGAACTATGTCATCGGCGAATAGCATGCACCATGGCACCTCCCCTTAAATATGGTGTGTTAACGCGTCCATCACTAGGGCGAATAATAACGGACTGAGCGCAGAACCCTGGTGTAACCCCATTACAACCGAAAAATGCTCAGAGCCGCCTCTAACTGTCCTAACCCAAGTCTTAGCCCCATCATACATGTCCTTAATCGCCATAATGTAGGGAACCGACACACCTTTTGCCTCTAGGCATCTCCAGAGAACTTCTCTATAGTTGTTACAACTCTGGATATCATCATTGTTCTTATACACTAGAACCACCGTACTCCACCTCCACTCATCCGGCATCCACTTCGCCTTAAAAATAACATTAAACAACCTAGTCAACCACTCCAAACTAGCTCTCCCCACACACTTCCAAAATTCTACCGGAATCTCGTCTGACCCGGTCGCTCTGCCCCTACTCATCAAGAATCAAGAATATGTTCACTCGAATTTCACAACTTCTAAGCTCCCGTTTGTCCATAGATTTTGGCTTCATATTTTAATTTTTTTTGAAAACATTGTTTTATTTATGAAATGTGATCATGTTTTGGGGAAAAAATCAAAAACTTTCAAGTTTCCNTATATATATATATATATATATTCCCAAAATTATGGGTAAATGTCTTACAAGGTGTCCAAACCAATGTAAAAAGTGTAAACTACTACAAGCTAGTGTTATGAAAACTAAACCTAGTGATCTAGCTATTACAAAGTAGAAGGATGTATGCTTCCATATCCGTGTAGTGCAAGTGAATCCAAAGGACAAGGGCAATAACCAAGTAACACCTCTAATGCTCTCACCAGGCGCTAAGTTATGCATTCCATAGGACAAGATTCAATGGACAAGACAAGTGTAGATTCCAAACAAGCACACCACTGTAATGCAGCTATCTAGATCTGATAAACACATGTGTTGATCTAGCTTGAACTCGTTAGTATTGATCTCCATTTCCAAGCATAATGATCCTCGGTAATATTAGATAAGAGATAAACATGACATTACCAAAGATATTCATGTATAGCTTTGGGCCATAGCTGTATGCTTAGAAGATAAGTGTCATATATTACCTTCTCATCTCTAGATTCAGTGTGAAAGCATACTAATACCACTGAAAAATGATCAAACAATACACAACATGAAAGATATAGATGAAACAACAACTGCCCATGTGTGTTAGCTAAGTCAAATACACTGTCCAGTTCAGGAACACACTGTGTAGGCTCTTCTACAATATGAATCCAGCATGTATGAGAAACACCATATAAGCAGCTGTACCAAACCCTAGTAAGATGAAGTATATCACCTTGTAAGCTTTTGTTGTAACTTGTAACCTATGTATTGCCTGTTTGTTTTACCAATTCTGTATGCTGCCAAACCACTCCCAGACTGAGCATAATGACATGCTAATACCACTGGGAAGTCATCTACCAACACACAGAAGTATACAACAAAGAAACATGGGGCAAGATCACGCAATGCATCAGATGTTGTGATCATCAATCATGTGCCTTTCTTTTTGCTACCCTAACCCTAAGATTAGGGATTTGAGCTTTGTCTAGATTGATTAATCTCCTTCCTGCACTTTGCAATTCAGAGAGTGAGTGAAATGAGATTGTATATGCAAAAGAAAAAATAAGGTTAGCTAAATAATATGCCATTGCATTTCCCTCCCTTAGTACATGTTGAAATATCACATTGAATTGATCCTTCATCCCCTTTATCTTCTTCACTCCCGTACCAATGTACCACGGTGAATCCCAATCCCCTTAAATGATTCTCTTCATTACCAAAGAGTGAGTCTCAATGATAAGAGGATGAAGCTGCTGCTCAACACAGTCAACAATTGCTTTGCTTCTGCCACAATATTGGTTGTCTCACCTATTTCCTTAGCCTTAGCACACACAAAATCTCCACCACAATCTCGCACACAAAAGCCACAGGAACTAGGTCCAAAATTACCTCTAGAAGCACCATCTATGTTACACTTAAACCAACCATCATATGGAAAATGCCAGTATACTCTCTTGGTCATTAATTTTTCTTCCACTCACAATTTATTTTTTCAAATAAAATGCATGTCCAAACACAATTTTAACTTTAAAAAATTATTTTTCAACACAACTTTAAAAATTCTTTATTCAAGTGTCAATCAAATTTATGCTTAAACGTTAGCTAAATTTCATTGATATATTTCGAAGTTTAAATAAGAACAATAATTGATACCAATAATATAGAATTCATAAATCTTGAGAAACAGTCAAAATCAATACCGAAATAGTATTCCTTTTAATATCAAAATTCCAAAACTAATTTCAAAAAGTAAATCTATCAAAACCGACCCCATAACCAAATCCAAACCCCCGAGATAAATATCAGCCTCTACTTCTCTTTTATCCTCCTCTCTCCCGAAACCCTAGTCCCCAATTCAGAAAACCCTAATCTCTCTCGTTACTTCAAACCCTAATTTCCATGGCGAAGAAGCGAAAAACCAGAGCTTCCGAAGCCACCGCACAACCAGTAGAAGAAGAACAGCAAAATATTAAACAAGAATCAGCAGATCTCGAACCCGAACAAGAACAAGAACAAGAACAAGAAGAGTACCAAAACGACACCGTAGAAGAAGAAGAAGCAGTTCAAGAGGACGAAGAAGATCCAGAGCCCGAAGAAGAAGATGATAACGACAACGGTGATGATAATGAAGAAGAAGAGGAAGAAAATCCAGGATCTGGAAACAACGCCGTGAATGAAGTTAACGGAGGCGGTAGTGAGGTGAAGAAGGAAGAAGGATGCGATGAAGAAGAGGATTTAGAAGATGAGCCACTCGAGAAGCTTCTAGAACCTTTCACGAAGGATCAACTTACAGCGCTTATAAAAGAAGCTTTAGTCACTTACCCTAATTTGAAGGATAATATTCAGAGATTGGCCGATAAGGATCCAGCGCACCGCAAAATCTTCGTGCACGGCTTGGGTTGGGATACTACAGCCGAAACCCTAACGAGCGTATTTGGGAAGTACGGTGAGATTGAGGATTGTAAGGCTGTTACGGATAAGGTTAGTGGGAAGTCAAAAGGATACGGGTTTATTTTGTTTAAGCATAGGAGTGGCGCTAGGAAAGCATTGAGAGAACCACAGAAGAAAATTGGTACTAGGATGACTTCTTGCCAGCTGGCTTCGGCTGGGCCGGTCCCTGCCCCGCCCCCTACAGCAGCGGCTGTCCCACCGGTTTCCGAGTATACTCAGAGGAAGATTTTTGTTAGCAATGTGGCAACTGATCTTGATCCTCAAAAGCTGTTGGAGTTTTTCTCCAAGTTTGGTGAAGTTGAGGAGGGTCCACTTGGATTGGATAAGCAAACTGGGAAACCCAAGGGGTTTTGTTTGTTTGTGTATAAGAGTGTCGAGAGTGCAAGAAGGGCGTTGGAGGAGCCACACAAGAGCTTTGAAGGGCATACACTTCATTGTCAGAAGGCTGTTGATGGGCCGAAACACAATAAGAATTACTATCAGCAGCACCAGCAGCCGCAACAGCATTACCCTCAGCACCAGCAGCACCAGCAGTATTATCAGCATCCTGCAAAGAAGGGGAAATATTCAGGTAGTGAAGAAGTTCACTATGTTTGTGTAGGATTCTCTAACTTTTGAATACCGCTTGTATACAATGATTTTTTTTTAATATTTATTTATTTAATACAATATGGAGTTTATCACTTTAAAATCTAATTGCAGAATTTAATAGCAGTGTAAAAAATTCATTACATGCATTTAACTTAAATCCTGTGCAGTAAAGTTGATTTAATTGTTACCTTAAAAAACTCAGGTGGTAGTGGCAGTGGAGCAGCAGCATCAGCTGGACATTTAATGGCGCCATCAGGGCCTGCACCCGTGGGATTCAATCCTGCTGTGGCTCCGGCTCTTGGGCAGGCATTGACAGCCCTGTTAGCTACTCAAGGAGCTGGTTTGGGGATTGGGAATTTGCTTGGAGGTTTTAGTGGGCCAGTGAACCCTCAGGGTGTGCCCCCAGTGATGAGCAATGCGGGAGGATATGGTGCCCAGGGTGCTGGTGGTGGCTATGGAGCTCAGCCGATGCAGTACCAAAATCCGCAGATGCAGGGCGGTGCAAGACCACAGGGTGGTGCACCTTACCCAGGCTATGGAGGTCACTAGGAAAGCTTAAGGTGTGATCTCCCTCTCATGCATTGCATGTTGGTGTCTAATGCTTATAGAGTTAAATTAGCTACAGGGCAATATTGTACTCTACATGAAATTTCTTACAATGGACTTTAGTGGTTCCTTTGATTAATGATCAGTTTGCCTTTTTGCATTGCTTATCAAGGGAGTGTAGCGTGTACTAGTCTATATTTTTATATCATACCCATTTTAAATGTAATGCATCTTCAAATATTTTTATATCATACCCATTTTAAATGTAATGCATCTTTAGTGGTTTAAAAGGCTGGGGTACTACATAGCAATTTGTGTAATGCATCATTGACTATAATTTTAACCAGCTAGGCATTTACTTAATTTGCAAAGACCCTAGAAAAGACTTTCAAATCTGAGAGTCTAGGTGGACTAGAAAATACCTTCAAATCTGAGAATCTTTGTAACAATGTTCTCTTACTCCATGTAATCCTAGTCTCATAGTGTCTGTTGTGGAGGAAGTCTTTTATGTGATGTTATGCATGTCGTTGACTGAAACATAGTTAGTGCAATCTGTAACCTAAAACTTGTTGATTGTTCAACAATATTGCACTACTTAAGGAAAATCATGATAAGGTAACCAGAAACTGACCCTGTAAAAAATATCAAAGAATAGACATAGACTAGAAAGGTAACTTCAATTTGCATAAGAAGGTTTATGGTGTTCTCCTGTCTTCTGTTTTGTTGTCTTGGACAGGTATCAGTAATGCGATGGTTGTACTTCCAAGTAGGTAAAGTTATTGATTTGTTGCTCATATTCATTTGATTTTCTTGGTTATGTTACTATATCTTCCTTGTTTGTTAAATTTCTGTCTTACATAAAAACAATATCCTTTGACTTGTCTTTCACTTTTCTCAAGGTATTACTCTCACTTGCATTTCATGGTTTTTTCTGCTAAAAATATTTTTCTACTTAGTTTTTTATGTTTTACCTATTCATTGTGCAGATTCCTTGATAAAATGCATCAAACTTTTAGTTTTGGACTGGTGATTCTTCTGAAGTTCCGGGCACTCTCCAAATGAAGTCTTTTACTATGACAAAAGTTACCTTTTGCTTAAAGACCATGATCTTCAATGTGTATTTTCTTTTTATTCAAGTACTTCTATTCCGGTGAATGTTTTTAAACACTATGTAGTATTTTGCACTAAACTTTTCTATCTAAAAGGAGTGAGAAGAAGGTAGGGTATCCTACCCATCTCTCACCAGTATTTGAGTTATTTAGCAATGTCTTTCTAACCTTCAAAATCTTACTTTCTGAATGGTTTCTTCTACTGCTCCCCAAAACACCAGGCTGTCTCATAAGAAGCAACTTTTGCTTTTCCATCGGTTCAAAGAATTACATTATGAACACATCGAATAGTCAGCTAATTTGTTTTAAGGATTATCTTGTAGCAATTGCCGTTGCAGGTAAATGGTGATGTTCATGGCATTTCGCTGGAGGTGTCTTCTGCTTTCCTCCTTTTTTCACTGTTTGAAGCTTGTTATGCTTGTGAGTTGAGAGTGAATTTTATAAATACACTGAACAGTGATTTGATTTCCTCGTCACAACCACTGGCATATGCATATATATGATTAATATATGTAAAGATTGATTTTCATGGTGGGGTTAAATTTTATTCTTTCTGAAGATTCTTTTGGCTTATTTTAACCTGAAATGGTGGTTAGAGAAATGGAAAGGTTTCTGAAATATTCTGCAGAACTGGTTTATCAACAGCTTTGGCTCATTTTAACCTGAAATGGTGGTTAGAGAAATGGAAAGGTTTCTGAAATATTCTGCAGAACTGGTTTATCAACAGCTTTGGCTCATTTTAACCTGAAATGGTGGTTAGAGAAATGGAAAGGTTTCTGAAATATTCTGCAGAACTGGTTTATCAACAGCTTTGGCTTATTTTAACCTGAAATGGTGGTTAGAGAAATGGAAAGGTTTCTGAAATATTCTGCAGAACTGGTTTATCAACAGCTTTGGCTTATTTTAACCTGAAATGGTGGTTAGAGAAATGGAAAGGTTTCTGAAATATTCTGCAGAACTGGTTTATCAACNTTCCCGTGGTTTCAAAGCCTTTTCTTGATTTTAAATACCGCTTTCAAAGCCTTTTCTTGATTTTAAATATACCCATCTTTTGGAGGAGGGGAGGGGTTTCCTCTCCGAGTTGATCATTTAACATTTTGTTGTACTTTATGAAGTAGAGGATTCTAACAGAAGGGTGTGATGCAAGAATGCCTTGTAGCTTTGATGTTTTGCATCCAGGGGCTGAGCAGGATGTCCTCCTGGCATTTGAGATGGTTGTAGCCTTGTCAAAGATGGCTGGCAGGTCAGATCAGCAGAAAATGTCTCTTCTCCAGGACTTGGTTGCTCTAGTGATGTTTTTATAAAAAGATGGCAAAATGCATAGTAAATGATATTTCTGCCATGTGGTTAATAAACGGATCAACATTTCACTTATGCTTTGTCATTAAGAGGTTTTCCCCCCAATTCCAAACCAGCACCACCTGCTTGGTTGAGCTGAGTTCTCCTCTTTGCACTCTTACACAACTGCGGAAAAGAATGGGTTAAAGATTCTTACCCCCGTGGCTACGAAACTTGACATGGTAGAATCCTAGAAGGGTAGGATGAGCTTGGCTTTGCTTCTCTTGATCCTCAACCACTTTCCATAGAGGTGGGTTAATAGCTCTAACCTGTTGTTTGTTGGTCTAGTTTTGAGTTTCTAGGTTTTAATCACTTAGCATTGCAATATCAGTAATACTGAAATTGGGTTGATGTGGTATCATGGGAATCTTGATCTTGTTGATATTGGTTGTTACCTGGTTGACTTCAGAAACCGAGCAAAAGGAAAGTAATTAAACATCGATGATTCCCTTTTAGTGAGTCCATCAACCGTGGATGTTTAGATGGTGAATTATGTTCATGGAATGTTTCGTGGAATATAATATGGCTGTACGTGATATATGGTTGGTAATATAATATTGATTATAGCATTTGTGAATAGCGTATCACCAATCAAGTGGTGTGGATTAACAGTGAGGATAGGGTTAAAGAAAAGTTATTTTTTCCTTTGGGTGAAATTCAACAGTTCGATGTACATTACAACAAATTTCACGAAGGTGAACAAATTCTTTGTCTTGTCGATCCAATATTTGGAATCGAAATAATGATGGCATCTGTATAAGAGTTTCCAAAATTTGAGTTTTCAAACACTTTTCTTATAATTTTTGCAAAAAGTGTTTGGTTGGGTTTTATTTTTTTCTTATAAAAGTTTTTGACTTGGGTATAAGTTCTTTTAGGAGCAAGTCTTTGTATGATGCGTTTAAAGGTACTTGAGTAAACAGCTTTTGTGTTCTTGCATGTTGCTTCAATACAAATTTGTTGATCCCCTCATGTATAGTTGACTAAAAAATTAACCAGTTAGAAATCAAGTAGTAAAGCGGAGGAACTAGTAATTTGAGATAAAATTGATAAAGATTACAACATCAAACTAGTAGAAATTGATATAGAACCCAACTCGAGATCAACAATGTAAATTAAGAATTGATTTAAGAAAAAGAATTACAACTAAAGGGTTATATTATGAATTAGACCAAATTGTTAAATAACATCCGCCTCGATTCACTAAAACCAAAACTTTTTCAAGATTTCATTCACTACAAGCTGCTCGATTGACATGCCACTCCGTTACTATTTAGAGCCACATACCATGCGATCCGTGCACCAACCGAGTAACAACTTGAACGCTTCCAATAATGAAAAGAGAATCAAATTAGAGAACTGTTTCGCAAGCTCAACCGATATCACCACAAAGTGCAATGCTATGAACCCGTCTCACAAAGGAGAATCAAAATACACGAACTTAGCACACAATACATAACTCTGCTGCAATGTGTGACCCAATCCAAACACCGGTATACATGGAATACCTCGAACCATGGTGCTCACAATCAACAACCACATGCATATAACCAACAAACACGCGAAGTGCATGATTATAACCAAGGTGCAATCAACCATTCAACACCACAAGAACCATCTTGCTCGAATTCCACCGCAAGGTCCAAACATAATCACATCATGTGTGTAAATAGTCAACATTCTCACAATCCATTGTAGCATAGAAGAGCAATACAAGGAGCATATCAGAACACGAATAAGATCAACTCTAACCGATGAGACTCCCCTCAATAATAGTTGTGCTGAGTAAATAAATCTGATCCGATTACGATCCATAATACATACCATCAGTCGTTAACCTCTTAACATACCTTCACCCGTTCGTACCTAAGGAACAATCTGCCTATAAGAACACTCCTAGTCTTCAAATCCCTAGAATACAAGAGTCTCCATGTCTTATCCCAACTCCACCATTCAAATGACTGACACATCCCTCATACACAATCATCTCACAAGAAATACTTCCATAATTATTCCGTGCCACAAAGCAAAATCTGAATGTCATTAGTCGATCAACCAGACGATTACCGTAATACCAGTCAAGCATCCGCAAAATCAAAATACAATGTGCCTTTTGAAATACGCACCCTCTTTAGGTGAAACACCTAAAACCGTCCATACTGTCTAGAACTCATGACCTTCCTTCCGAACGAAACCGCAACCTTGTACATGCAAGCCTCAATCTCACACGTCGCACCGCATCCGTCATGCCATCATATGAAAACACGAGAATCCTATTGTCAACTCTGAATCACAAGTAGGATAGACACTCCATCAACTAGAAACTTTCCGCTTGACCCCATCAGCGAGAAAAATCATGACACACAACATACTCTTAACGCCTGGAGAAGACATCTTTCTCAAGTCGTGGTTGACATCATCGAGAACTATTCAAAACTCATTTGCACATAACCAAGCCATCAGAATTGAATCCCTCTAACTCAACCAAGTCAAGCAGGTCGCCAAACCCAAGGGTATTGCCACAAAGCAGCTGCAAAGCCTCATCACACCAAATGAACCAAAAGAACCGATTATATCTATTACCATATCGACCCGAATCACTGCCAAGCTGACCCATTTCCTTGAATTCTCCTCGACTTCCCTATAAGTTAATACTTCTCCTTGCCAATACACCACGATCCTTATCCAAAGATCACCACAAGAGACTCTAGCATGAAATCACGTAGTCCTAAAGCCCATAAATCGTTGTATTCCCTCTTAAGCATCCAATACTACCGTAACCTAAATGCCCACTGTAAAGAGACCTTCCGCGAATCTGAAGTTACTTTTTTAATCCTTCTGATACTGAAATGTAGAATCACTAATGATACAGAAATACATAATGATATAGAAATACCATAAATTACGACACCATCTGATGCAAATATCGTGTCTTAGCCATTTACAAATCCAAAAACAAATCCTCAAATACCACATATGAATCTTGAGCTTACTAGAACCTTCTTGAAAGTCACCCACTCTGCTCAAATCTCCTATTCACCGCCGAAATGAGCCGAACGACTTGTACTTCATTTGTGCACAAGCATCACAGGAAGTAATCTCCACCTTAAGCAACTGAGTGAAGGCTTGCATGTACGAGGTTGCAGTTCCATTCAGAGGAAAGGTCATGAGTTCTGGACAGTATGGACAATTTCAACTGTTTAAAAGAATGCAGGCACTATCTGGAATCACATAAGAAGGGTGCACACGTTAGAAGGCGCATTGTGTTTTGATTATGCGGATGCTTGATTGGTATTACAACAATTGTTTGGTTGATCGATTGCTGACATTCAGATTTTACTTTGTGGCATGGAAGAATTATGAATTTCTCGTGGGATGATTGTATATGAGGGATGTGTCAGTCATTTGAGTGGTGGAGTTGGGATCAGACGTGAAGTTTCTTGTATTCTAGGGATTTGAAGACTAGGAGTATTCTTAAAGGCAGATTGTTCCCTTATGTTAAGAGGTTGACGACTGATGGTATGTATTATTGATGGGTTCCAATGGATCTTTAGGAACGTTATCTACTTATTTTGGGAGGATCAGAATCGATTTGGAGGCCACTTGTAAGCCTAATAAGAATTTGTATTCTTCTCAGATTTATTTACTCAGCACAACTATTATTGAGGGATGTGTCATCGACTAAAGTTGCTCTTATTCGTATTCTGATATGTTCCATGTATTGCTCTTCTATGCTACATTTCGAGCAAGATGATTTTTGGGGTGTTGAATGGTTGATTGCGCCTTGATTATGGTCATACATTTCACGTGTTTGTATTTGATATACATGCAGTTGTTGATTGTGAGCACCATGGATAGAGGTATTCCATGTGAATCGGTGTTTGGATTGGGTCACGTATCGCAACAAAGTTATGTTGGGGGTATGATCCTTTGTGTTTATTTCGTGTATTTTGTTTCTCCTTTGTGAGATGGGTCGCGCCATTGCGCTTTGTTGTGATATCGATTGAGCTTGCGGAACGGTTCTCTCATTTAATTCTCTTTACATTATTGGGAGCAATCGAGTTGTTGCTTGTTTGGTGCACGAATTGCATGGTATGTGGCTCTAGATAATATTGGAGTGGCATGTAGGTCGAGCAGCTATTAATGAGTTAAGGAAAAAATTATCAGCCAATTTCTACTCAACGAATTTGTCAAAATTCAGAATTGTTTTCAAGGATTGTGTACATCGATTTCGCTCATGAAAATGACTATAACAATATGTTTCAAAGGATCTTTTGCCGATGTAAGAGTTGGACCCCCTTCGCTCCAACTAGGGGTGGTAAATAGGTTGTTTGTGCTATATTTGGGCTGATCAAGATAGGCTGACTTATTAAATGGGTCATTGTCCAACCCTGCCCAAAGTTTACTTGGGTTACGATGAGATGAGTCAAGATGGGCTAAACAATGGGTTGTGACCCAACCCGTTCAAATTGACGCAAATCTTTGCAATATTCTCAGCTTTTAAACGAGCATACATAAAAATTATCTTATGTTTTGGAATAAATGTCAATTCATGCTAAATGATTTTTTTTCTCAATTTGGATTTATAATTTTATTTACTAGTTCTTCATCATACAATACTAACAAAGAT